CTATCGGACAGGAATACGTCCTTCATCGATGCAATAACCGGTGTCTTATATCAGAAATGTTGAAAATCGATAAATACAGGGGACATCGCAAATCAGAGACAAGTTCTGTTCTGTTGATGTATGCGGCTTAAGAACGCAGAAATCCAGTTCTGTTCTGTTTCTGACTATTTTATCATGTTTAACATGGATGAAAATACCTCTCTGAGCACAGCTCCAACGTTCAGTCAGATGTTTGAATTTCAGGCAGTTTTCATGCCATCGTTTAACTGTGTGTTGCCGCAGAACATTAACAGCGCGATCATTTCATTGTTTTCGTTCAACACACATTTCGCTTGTCCACGTGCGCATGACATATGAGGGATTGAACAAGTCTCTTCAGCCTCGTAGTTCAGCTTCAGCAGGGACACGTTGGCGTTGCTTCAGGAACACGGTGAGCAGGACATGGCGTAAAGTTGGTTATCATCGTTTATCACCGCTCGTTATAGCTCTTTCTACCGTGTCTAATTATTATACGTTACCATGGTCTCTGTAACCTCGCGCAGTTACTACAAGGGAATCATAAAGCAAAACAGAAACGCACGAGTTTGGTGGATGTTTCATGTCGTGCGCATGTAGTGGTTCCGTTTGATGTCATATGATCAAATTTGTTTGGAAAGGCTTAAGGGTGGACATCTGACAATTACACGGAATCTGACTCGCGACCATATGAATGAACGAGTATTGACTTAGCAATTTCTCCCACTCGCCATAATGGGCTTGGTAAGCTAAGGAGGCTTCTTCGGTATCGCAGGCTCGACATCACACTACGAACCGAGAGGTAGAGGTTTCTAATCCTGGTTAAGGCCACTTGCCTTTCATCCATCCAAGGTTAATAAATGAGTACTGCTTTGTAGGAAGGAAACAAGAGACTACACACTACCACTGTCACATAGTTGTAGACTCTGTCTTTAAAAGAAGGCATTCCTGGCTGATGGCATGTAGATTAAGATTAGCGCTCCATGATTAACTGCAAGAAGAGAAAGGCGTCAAAATGACCCCGTCATGAAAGTGTATAGAAGATCGACCCTCTAACGGTTACAAGCATTTCTTTCATCCTTTATAACAGGATCATAAAATTATAATTCTAATCTTTTCGAAATTCACAAGTTTGAAGAAAGCTTCGGATTTTGGATATTCTGGAAAAGTTTTCTACTTCATAGTATTGAGACAGGAACAGTTTGAATAATTGACACTGGCAAATATATGCTAATTGTATGGAATAAACCTCATTACTGCAAGACTGCTTTTTCTTCGTATCCCACTGCACTGAAGACGACGCCTAATGCTGTATCAGCATTCCACCTCAATTGAACAAATGCGTGTTCATTTAATCCTGTGGATGTCAAGTCAGGTCTAATAATATCTTCCTTTTTAGAGGGAGGTCTTCCTGAGGGCTGCTTACCATCAGGCTTTATGTTCAATACTCACTTTGCGAGGTAGTCATCATCGATTTGTTGGCAACGGCCCCACTATTCTAAACGTATTGTTGACAGCCAGTCGATCACCTTAGTCGAAGTTTGATTACAACAGTATTTGATACAAGGTCGTAACAATTCACTACTAATATTAATATTAAATTCCTCATTTTCGCCCTTTTCAGTTTACTGTTGTCAGCTTTGTTTAGCGCCGTTGTCTTCAAGTCATAGAGAAAGATGATAAGAATTCTAGCCATATATATTCGCAGCCTGGGGCTATTGCCAACATCGTTGTCTTTCCAGCTCTTGAATAATTTGATGCTCTGTGCTGACGCCAAGGCACAACAGTTAATGACCTCATCCATGTGCAGCCAACGAATTTTCAAGATACAAATGCTCTGATTTTTTTCACAACTTCGGTGTCAAGTGTTAGACAATCTTTGGTCCGATTTCTACAGTCACAAGACTGCATATGGGCTTAATCACAGTATAATCTTAAGATAAAGATGTAAGTCTCGAAATCTCGAAATGCATAAGATTGCAAAAGATTCGTGTGTTAGCAAACAGTCATTCGTCGATAAATAAACGGATTAAATCAGGTAATCAGTACAGATGAGCACTCGCCAGTTATTCAAGTCCGAACTTGCGGTCGCAGTACTACTTGCCGACATCCACCGCCGGTCTGCGTCCAATGAGCTTGTCCCAGAACGTCCTATGTCAGATACAAGATGTTTCGACCTAGCATCCAATTCCCTTATTTTGATTTTTGACTCTGAAACTTGCTGTATATGCTTGATTGTTATTATTTTCTGTTTAACATATTTTACTGAGATATAGCGGGCAATGGGATTAACCGCTAGTGTCTGACTGCGACCAATTGCCAATGATGCTCATTGTCTATGTCCTGCAAAAAGCTTGATTAAAACAGATGAAGCCTACTTAGAGAACGAAACAAATAACTGACGTGGAAAAGCGGCCACGATGAACAGCGGAAGGAGAAGACCTTACCTCCTCATGGCCGCACGAAGCCTTCACCAAGCCGTTTGTCAAGGAGGCAACCGAAGCGCCGTCGACGATGTTCCAGCAGCGCCTCAGCGAGCAGCCAAGAAGCGGATGGTTGACGAGTTTGGTCGGCGTGTTGATCTCGTTGTAGCTGACCAGGTCGACCGTTTGCCAGTCCGAGTTGTTGACGCATGGCCCCTGGCTACGGTAAACGAAGTTTGGTAAGGCAATGAGGAAGCAGGCGAACGAAATCACCAGGCAACCGCCGCCGATCCAGCGAGCGCGGTTGCTGCGGCTGCCGAAATAGGCGAGCACCACGACGGTCAGCGTGTAGCCGATGTCGCTGGACGCCACCAGACCGCCGGACATGCGGCTTGGGATCTGGAACTGGCGCTCGATGCTCTGCACGGCGCTGATCAAGTACGTGAAGGTAATCGTCTCCAGGAAATAGCACAGGCAGAACAGCGTCAGCAACGTCCAGATGTTCGAGCAGTGGTCGAACAGCGACGAGCCCATCTTGGCCCTGACAGATGAACGGCTGTCACACACTGAGGCGCGGACTTATTTCGTTCGACCTCCCCGTTGCAAATCTGCCAACCTTCTACCAGTACCACCAGTACCACGTCAGCACAGCAGCAACAGCAAGATTTGCAGTCACCTATCCCCCCGCCGTGTTTACGCGCAGGTCGCTGAGGCTTATCTGTTTGCCGGTGGTTTTGCCATGGCATTGTTGATCATGTTAACAGTGATACCAGATTACAATACTGATAAAGCTATTCGCAAAAAGCGGTCAATACAAGAGATAAATATTTCGGCCGAAACGTTCGATCGCATTATTTGCTTATGCTAGGTCAGGATTTCTTGATCTACGGTTCACAAACCTGATCCCAAAGTATTGTTGCATTTTACTGATTAGAAACGTACTGCTGAACTCTGTTTGAATAACTAATGCACAATCGATATTTTTCCAAAAGGATACTTTAATGCAGAAATATAATGTGTACATGTGCATACATACCTATCTGGGCCAGCTCATCTCTGCAACGCAGAACTGATTCTGTGAAATCAGCGGATGAGCAAAAATTACATGGAGCACTTTTGGAACGCAGAAAATGTTTTTATCGCAAAAGCTTTAGATCAGTGTGTACATCCAGCGCTAACCAGTGGGTGAGAAACGTGCACCCTTAGCTTCCAAGCTCTTCATAAACTGCGGACTATGCAGTGCAGCATGGCAAGATGTCTGTTGGGAATAAAAATAACAAATCAGAAGACGAGTGAATGGATAAGAGCACAAACAATAATCTCCGACACCATTGCTCGTGTGAAGAAGTCAAAGTGGCCATGTGCAAGGCACCTCGCAAGAAGAACTGCTCATCGTTGATCAGAAGCACATTAGATTGGGTTCCAAGAGAGTGTAAGTGGCCGTAAGAACACGCCAGATCTTCGATAGCAGGATGAGATCAAGAAGTTCGATGGATGGAGATGGATAAAAATGGCAAAAAATTAGAGGTCCATAACACAGTCTCGGAGAGGCCCTCATTCAGAAGTTGTTTGACAAAGGCTAACGATGAGGGTACAAGCATATATATCAAACAGAAAGATAGTGGAAAACTACAAACCACTTTGCTGGTTAGTAAACTGATTGGAACAAATCTGATATGAGCACCATGTTAATATCTCTGATAAGGAAAACCATCGAAGATAGCGTCAAATGCTGAAGCATAGGTGATATGGCAGCACAGGTCTAGTAAACTTTTTTTTCTCATATCACAATTTCTTTAACCTACCAGCAGTAATTGGGCAGATAGCAGCACTTCATCCATCCTTCTGCTTTTCGTCCGTTCCCATGTGACAATGGTCCTTTGAAGCTGGATGTTAAATCGTCCAATCCGATATAGAAGGGAAGACCAAGGTGGTTTTCGAGATACCGCGACGGCCATTTGACGAAGGCAGAATCCAACGGTGGTCAGTAAATAGAGCTACGTGTCGAGTCCATTGTGTTTCTTCCCTCTGTGTTCCTCGGTGATATCTATTAATTTGGTCTGCATTCCGATCTCCGTGTTAGGAACACGGTCGCGATGCAAGATTCCCATCTTTTCTCCATCTTCTGCGTCATTGCTCCATTTTCATCAACAACCAATTTTCTGAGCCGTTCAGCATCTCCGGCAATAGTATTGTGTTGAACAAGTATACCTCTGCCAATATATCATTCTTTCACAGTAGGATATTCGTGATGCAGCTTAGCACCTGCTCGCATGCTTCGATTTTGCGTCAGGTTTTCGCCTTCAGACTGCATCGCATGTTTACTTCCTGATTAAATATAAATTTTCACTTCTTCTGTACCCTTTTAATCAATTATGAATTGACTCTTAGGTTGTGTATCTGACTGAATGCACTTTTTCTTCGATTCACTGCTTTTTAATCAAATTTCGTAGCGTTCTTCGCGGAGTTCTTACAACATTTCTTAGAGGTCGGTTATACCTTCGGCAGTCAGCACAGAGTCATCAGCGAATTTTAAATTACTGAGCCCCTCGCCGTCGAACTGTATTCCTTTTTATGAGTCTATCAGCTTGAATATCATTTGTAGACATCCCGTGAAAAGTGGTGGGAAAATCGTCTCATTGCTTCGCGCCTTTCCGGACTGAGATGCAAGGTCTGTGGATTATCGTGATGCTCTTCCGGTTTCCAGAGTCCGCTTCCTTCAGTAGGTCGATGTACCGTATGGTAATGTCCTGCTTTCCAAGTGCTCTCAACTTCGCTTTGAGTACAATTCAGTCAAAAGCTTTTACGTTGTCGACGAAGGCAATAACATAGAGGTAAATTATACGCCCTCATGTGTTTTAATAGTTGGCTTTGAATAGACGTTCAGTCAACTGTGCTGACGTTTGTTCGAAATTCAGCCTGCTTTCTCAGCCGCCGATCATACATATTCTCAGATCATTGATTTATGGTTATCTTCATGAACAGGCCATTTGCCGATAGTCCTTCAGATACTCCCTATTGCCCTTTCGTGCAAAACGTTTTCATCATCATCATCATCTTCCATTGCCGCTTCTCCTTTCGGGTAGCGGAGGCAGACGCGTCAGACAGTGCTTCCAACGTTCCCGATCCTGTGCC